ACGCGCTGGTGAAGTCAGACGTGAGCGTGTTGTCGAACGTGATGTTGGAGGTGGAGATCAACGCGTTGGGGCGCTACATCTACCTCAACCGGCCGTCTGCGGCGGGGCTGACGGTGTGCAAGTTCTACGTCTTCGCAGGAAATCGCAATGGTCCACCTCCTTCCGCGTCGCCGTCGCCACCGCCTCCCTCCGCGTCGCCGTCCCCGCCGCCTCCGTCGGCCTCGCCGTCGCCGCCGCCGCCATCCGCCTCGCCGTCGCCGCCGCCTCCGTCCGCCTCACCGTCGCCGCCGCCGCCCTCAGCATCGCCGTCGCCCCCGCCGCCCCCAGCATCGCCGTCACCCCCGCCGGCATCCGTGTCGCCGTCGCCGCCGCCTCCCTCGGCATCGCCCTCGCCCCCGCCGCCGTCCGCCTCACCATCGCCACCGCCTCCGTCCGCCTCGCCCTCGCCGCCGCCTCCTTCCGCCTCGCCGTCGCCGCCGCCTCCGTCCGCGTCGCCCTCGCCGCCGCCTCCCTCCGCCTCTCCCTCCCCGCCACCTCCTTCCGCGTCGCCGTCGCCACCGCCTCCCTCCGCCTCTCCCTCCCCGCCGCCGTCCGCCTCGCCGTCGCCGCCGCCGCCTCTGCCGCCGCCTCCCTCCGCCCTGCCTGCGCCGCCGCCGTCCGCCTCGCCGTCGCCGCCGCCGCCGTCCGCCTCGCCGTCGCCGCCGCCGCCTGACGTGCAGCTGCTCGACCTCCGCGCCGCCACCACGTACCAGGACTCGAGCTTGTTCGACAAGCAGGCGCCCGTGAGCGACCTGTCATACGCCGACAGCACGACGGGACGGCCGTGGGCCGAGTGCGGCCAATACACAAGCCAGTGGTGGGGCGTCGACCTCGGGAGCGAGGTGTATGTGCGCTACGTGCGGCTGCAGAACCGCAACGACTGCTGCCCACATCGTCTGACCGGCATTGACATCTATCTCGGCACGACGGCAGAGACGTACACGGGCAACGCGCTGGTGAAGTCAGACGTGAGCGTGTTGTCGAACGTGATGTTGGAGGTGGAGATCAACGCGTTGGGGCGCTACATCTACCTCAACCGGCCGTCTGCGGCGGGGCTGACGGTGTGCAAGTTCTACGTCTTCGCAGGAAATCGCAATGGTCCATCTCCTTCCGCGTCGCCGTCGCCACCGCCTCCCTCCGCGTCGCCGTCCCCGCCGCCTCCGTCGGCCTCGCCGTCGCCGCCGCCGCCATCCGCCTCGCCGTTGCCGCCGCCTCCGTCCGCCTCACCGTCGCCGCCGCCGCCCTCAGCATCGCCGTCGCCCCCGCCGCCCCCAGCATCGCCGTCACCCCCGCCGGCATCCGTGTCGCCGTCGCCGCCGCCTCCCTCGGCATCGCCCTCGCCCCCGCCGCCGTCCGCCTCACCATCGCCACCGCCTCCGTCCGCCTCGCCCTCGCCGCCGCCTCCTTCCGCCTCGCCGTCGCCGCCGCCTCCGTCCGCGTCGCCCTCGCCGCCGCCTCCCTCCGCCTCTCCCTCCCCGCCACCTCCTTCCGCGTCGCCGTCGCCACCGCCTCCCTCCGCCTCTCCCTCCCCGCCGCCGTCCGCCTCGCCGTCGCCGCCGCCGCCTCTGCCGCCGCCTCCCTCCGCCCTGCCTGCGCCGCCGCCGTCCGCCTCGCCGTCGCCGCCGCCGCCGTCCGCCTCGCCGTCGCCGCCGCCGCCTGACGTGCAGCTGCTCGACCTCCGCGCCGCCACCACGTACCAGGACTCGAGCTTGTTCGACAAGCAGGCGCCCGTGAGCGACCTGTCATACGCCGACAGCACGACGGGACGGCCGTGGGCCGAGTGCGGCCAATACACAAGCCAGTGGTGGGGCGTCGACCTCGGGAGCGAGGTGTATGTGCGCTACGTGCGGCTGCAGAACCGCAACGACTGCTGCGCGGAGCGGCTGACGGACGTCGACATCTATCTCGGCTCGACGGCGGAGACGTACACGGGCAACGCGCTGGTGAAGTCAGACGTGAGCGTGTTGTCGAACGTGATGTTGGAGGTGGAGATCAACGCGTTGGGGCGCTACATCTACCTCAACCGGCCGTCTGCGGCGGGGCTGACGGTGTGCAAGTTCTACGTCTTCGCAGGAAATCGCAATGGTCCACCTCCTTCCGCGTCGCCGTCGCCACCGCCTCCCTCCGCGTCGCCGTCCCCGCCGCCTCCGTCGGCCTCGCCGTCGCCGCCGCCGCCATCCGCGTCGCCGTCGCCGCCGCCTCCGTCCGCCTCACCATCTCCGCCGCCGCCCTCAGCATCGCCGTCGCCCCCGCCGCCCCCAGCATCGCCGTCACCCCCGCCGGCATCCGTGTCGCCGTCGCCGCCGCCTCCCTCGGCATCGCCCTCGCCCCCGCCGCCGTCCGCCTCACCATCGCCACCGCCTCCGTCCGCCTCGCCCTCGCTGCCGTCGCCGCCGCCGCTTTCGCCACCGCCGTCGGCCCCGCCGGCGGCCCCGCCGGGGTACCCTCCTGCGCCGCCGCCGTCCGCCTCGCCCTCTCCGCCGCCGCCGTCCGCCTCGCCGTCGCCGCCGCCGCCTGACGTGCAGCTGCTCGACCTCAGCGCCGCCACCACTTACCAGGACTCGAGCTTGTTCGACAAGCAGGCGCCCGTGAGCGACCTGTCATACGCCGACAGCACGACGGGACGGCCGTGGGCCGAGTGCGGCCAATACACAAGCCAGTGGTGGGGCGTCGACCTCGGGAGCGAGGTGTATGTGCGCTACGTGCGGCTGCAGAACCGCAACGACTGCTGCCCACATCGTCTGACCGGCATTGACATCTATCTCGGCACGACGGCAGAGACGTACACGGGCAACGCGCTGGTGAAGTCAGACGTGAGCGTGTTGTCGAACGTGATGTTGGAGGTGGAGATCAACGCGTTGGGGCGCTACATCTACCTCAACCGGCCGTCTGCGACGGGGCTGACGGTGTGCAAGTTCTACGTTTACGGATACGTGTGAATGGAGAATGGAAATTGGAACCGTGGCCATGACAGACCGGCGGCGCGTACGTGAATGTGCATTAACGTATGAAGTGTACAGACCAGCCGCGGGCTGGCCCAGGGCGTGGGCGCCCCGCCGGCCACGTAAAAAAATCGGCTGGGGCTTCTGCCCCCATACCCCGTTTACACCCGAGCTTTGCCCCACGACCTGAGCCGCAGCTTCTACCTCCTCTCATTCACAAACCGTAACCCCTGCGCGGTCGCATCAAGCGCAGCCTGCAACCTTGGCACGTCCACAAGGTCGCCATCCACCGCCTCCGCAAAGGCCGGCGAGAGCGTGTCGCCTTGCAAACGCTCGTACGTTGAGAGGCCGTGCGCAATGCTCGGCCCCCCGAGGACGGACGCAAGCATCGCAACCTACTCGCAGCGAATCCGTCAGCCAGCCTCACCTCGCCGCTGGCACCGGCGGGGTGCAGCCCGGACGTGCGCATGAGCAACGCCCGACTCAAAGGCGGAGGTTAGGACAGTCGGCTTGCCCAAGCGACTCGCCTCGTCGGCGAGTCGCGCGCTAACCTGCAGTAGCGGGGGGAAGGTCGGCGCCTCTCTTCAAGCGCCCCCATGAATCTCTGCAAAACGCCCGCCTCCAGCCCTCCCGCCAGAGTAGGCTTGAGGATGAGCCCCGCGCAGCTCGCGTCTCCAAGTCTCTCCTGCAGCGCCCGGAACGCCTCGCCCCCCCTGGCGCTCGCACCATCGCTGCCGCTGGTGGCGCACGACGCCGCCAGCCGCTCGAGGGCTTCGGCGGCGGCTGGCAGCGCCCATTCGTCGATGGCGTGTCGAAGACCGTACTGGGCGTGAAGCGCCGGCAACTGCGCATGCAACCGAGCCATCAGCGGCTCTTCGCAGAAATCGAGGGCGGGCGGCGGCCAACGCGGTGCTGGAGCGGAGACCGCCCCGGCGCCGTCGCCACGTTGGTGTTCGGGACAGAGGGCGGCGCACCCTGCCTCCCACTCGGTTTGCATTGCCTCGCAGAAAGTGGCCGCCTGCTCAACGGTCAGACAATCAATCAGTCAGTGTTACACACGTCCTAGCAGGGGGGGCACACGCGCGGACACACGAGGCATTGTGTGCAATCTCAAGAGAGGATTGGCAGTCACAGAAATGCAGAGTCAACAGAAGTGCAAACGTTCGGGGCTTGAATATCTCCGCGGCCCGCGGGCTGTCGAAGGAGCGTCGCGTCATCTCGCTATGGACGGCTCTCTACATGCCGCCTGCTCTCTGCTCCAAGCTTGGTTCGCGTCGAGGCGGAGGCGGGCGCCTAGCGCCGTGCAGCCGAGGAGCAGCTTCCCGATCCGGCGGCCGTCTGCCGCCGGATCACCTACAGTCAGTCAGTCAGTGTTACACACGTCCTACCACGGACGACGGGGCACACACGCTCGCGGAACACACGGGGCATTACACACGAGGCGTGTTGTGCGTTCTCAGGGAAAGGCATCAACACAGACAAAAGTGCAGTAGTCAGAGGGGCATCGGTGGGGACCCCCACTCACGGCCCCGCGAACGCCGGCTCACCTACGGCCGGCCGGCGAGGTTTCGATGCGTGGCAACGGCCACTGCTCCGTCCTCGCTCGCAGCCTTGCCTCCCCCCACCTTGACCTTCCACGTGCGCATGCGAGCTGCCGCGTGTTTCACTGCCGGTCCAGAAGCGCAGGCGCGAGAGGAGGGACGCGCCGAATCAACGGCTGCTCTTGCGGCGTCTGCCGCCGCCTCGAGAGAGGAAGCCTCGCCCCTGGCGAGCAGCCCGTTGATGCGGACCTATGCGCATAGCCCCCCAAGCTTTCGGAGCTGCGGGGGCCGCTCCGCCGGCTTGCGGAGACGCGCGTGCGACTGGTAGGGCGCTCGTCGTGCACAGCAGACGAGTTGAGCGATGCTCGTGTTGGCTGCTTGCGCGAGCAAATGCAGGCACGCCATTTCGAGTGCGCAGCGCACGCTCGGTAGCAAGGGCCCAAAAGCCAACTTGCTCGGCCGATCGCAAGCCGCGGCGAGCCAAGCACTCATCGAGCCTACGGGGCGGCCACCACCGCCCCTCCGTTCCGCTGCCTTGTCCGAACTAGCCTCGCTTGGCGGTCGGGCCTGTTCACAGCTGGAGGTGTGAAGAGACGCCGTTCACAGCCGCCGCGGGTACATGGACATGAGAGGCGGGCCGTCGAGCCGAGCGACCGCAAAGGGCAGCAGAGCTCCTTGCAACCGGTGAGCGACGGAACGGAGCTGCGCCGCCGCCTCGTCGAGGCTCTCGCTATGGAACCTAACGCCAAACACGCCCCTCGGCGATTCAGGCACTCCCGCCGCCACCTTCATGCGCGCCCGCCGTCATCGCGCGCCCGGGAAGCGGGCACACCTCCCCCAAACCACGCACCGCCCTCCCGTCCGCGGCCATACCTGAGCGACCGCGTGAACGGCTGAGAGAGCCGCGCGGGCGGAGCGGGCACGGCAGCGAAACGTTGCCTTCCACAAGTAGAAGTACGCCGGCGCGTTCCGAGAGGGGAGGTCCGCGCGCGAGCGGCAGCGGCGCCTGTGCAACAGACAGAAGAGGTCGCCTCCAAGCAGCAGAGTCGGTGGGCACGCGAGGAACGTCGCGCCGTCAGCGGCAAGCGGAACGGCAGCAGACGCGCAGACAGCGCGTCGACGCCTTCCGGCCCACGCGCTTGAATCCGCACGCCCTCCGATAGCGGCGGCGACGCCGGCACAAGCGGCGGTGGCAGCACTTGGCTCGCGAAGGCGTGGCATATCTCAGCGACGGGCGCGGAGGCCTACGGCTTCGCGGTCCGATCGGTTTGCGAGGCCTCGGTTTTGCGCGGTCCGATCGGTTTGCGAAGCTAGTGGGGTGAGGGGCCTCGGTGAGAAGTGCGTGGCCAGCAGCAGGCAGCACCGCCACCCGCACAAGCCGCCGCTCCACCGGCTCGGCGACGCCTAGGGAAGTCGAGCCGATCGTGAGTGCTGGTCGACGCCACGCCTCCTCTCCGCCTCTCGCAAGCCCGCCGGAGTGCTCGGCCAGCCTCGTCGCCACCTTGCAGTAGGCTTCGTCCTCCTCGCCGGCGACGTACAGGACTGGCGCGGGCGGCGCCTCGAGCCACGGCCAACACGAGGGTTGCCGACCCACGCTCTCGCGTTCGAGCGACGCCGCGCGGTCGCGCGGCTGAGCGCCGTCGGTGCGCCGGAGCAGCATTCGCTCAAAGGAGGGGTGTTCTTGCAGCCGGCCACCCCACAAGGCCGCACGATACCACTCCCGTCGCAGCCACTCGTCAAAGTGCGGCGGGGTCATCGCTCGCAGCCGCGCGGCGAGGGCAACGTCGCGAGAGAGCCGCGCCTCGCGCAACGCGCCGTCGTCCAGCCCAGGGCTACCGCTCAGGATGACGAGTCCGGCGAGGCGAGGCGGCGGCAGGCGTGCCGCCAGCTGGAGCGCCACGCGGCCACCCATCGAGTACCCGACGAGCAGCAGCCGCGCAGGCGGCGGACACAGCGCCTCTAGCGTCGCGAGCGCGGCGTCAACGGCGGACGTCCCAGCGTCGATGGTCGGCATCCACGCACTGTCGCCGTGCCCGGGAAGGTCGAGGCTGATGCAGTCCGCGAGAGCGCCGAGCTTTTGGCGCAGCGGCTCGACGTCGCGCCGATCGCCCAGGAAGCCGTGCAGGAGCACAATCGCGGCCTCGCTGTCGCTGGCGCCGCAGCGTGCGTGCGTGTGAGCGAGCATGTCAGATGTTAAATGCACATGCACCCTAGCAGGGGCATGCACATGCACATGGCGACGAGGAAAAAGGGGGAAAGAAATCTTAATCAAAACAGATCTCCTTCCAACACACAAGCCCTGAAGCTAACCCCGAGGCTTCGCATCGCCGATGGCGCTGATCGGCAGCGCGAGCTCGGCGGAGGTGGGGATCGCGTAGGGGATGATGGTGCCCGAGGCGTTGCGCGTCACATGGTGCTGCTCGACATGCGGCCATGCCTCTGCGAACGCGCCAAGCATCGACAGGGTCGACCTACGATCGGCCGCCTCCATGTACGAGGTCGCGACGACGCCGGGGGCGAGTGCAAAGCCGTGTGGCGTTCGCGCATGGTTGGTGAAGCGCCAGTCGACCCCGCTGCCGTCCATCTCCTTGATCCACTCCTTCTGCATGTCCTCCGGCACGTGCTCGTCGTCCGCTCCGTTCTCGACGAGCACAATGCAACCAGGCGTCATCGCGCTCGGCGGCGGCTGGATGCGTTGCGCGTACTCCTCGGCACTTATGCGCTGGAGCGGGTCCCAAAAGGGGAGGCCCTCGACCATCGGCCGCGAGTGGAGCAGCCCGTGCAGCGAGACGAGCGCCTGGATCGCGTGACCAGCTCGAAGCTGCTCGAAGCAGCTCTGGCCGCCGAGGCAATAGCCGATGCAGCCCGCTTTCCCGGCCGCCACAGCGGGGTGTACGTCCGCCGCAGCCATGAACGCGCCCATGAGCGAGCGCCACTTCGCTGGGTCGACGAGAAGCGACTGCATGTAGTCGAACGAGCCCTTGAAGTGGCGGGCCCTGTCGACGTTCACGGAGCGGTCGGCTGAAGTGTACATCTCGCACTCCGGGTATAAGTCTACCGCGAGCCCGACGTATCCGCAGAGCGCGAGGTACGCCGCCTGGTCCACGTCAAACCGCTTGCAGCCCGCGTAGTTGTGGTGGACGAGGATGACGGGGGTTGGCTGCCGTCCCTTGACGTAGGCGATGCGGCCGTGTGGATACGTGTAGCCACCAAAGCTGATCGGGAATTCCTCAACCACCAGGTCTCCATCGGCGGCCTCGGACGCAGGTGCCGGCTGCAGGTGGTCCTGCGTCTTGTAGCCCGAGGCTGTGGCGCTGTTCGGCCCGCACATGTTGCGATCGACGCCGCCGGCCGGGCAAACTACCGTACAGTGAGGGGCCGTTTGAAAATCCACCTTGACTTGTGGGGCTCTCACCACACTGTTCTCTGCATGAATGCCATAAGTTAGTCTAGTACCCAGCTGGAACAGAGGGCGCCCCGGGCACGCTCCCGCAGGCCGCCGCCGCAGCCCACGCGCTCGAGGGTGGGTCCCCGCTCCGTCCAAGGCAAGAGGGGAAACTCCCCGCATGCCAAATGAACACTCCTACTTTGGTTCTGGCCGCTCGCCCAGGGCGCGGCCGCCTAGACGTAGCACTTGTCGATCTGCGCCTTGTGGCACGCGACGATCTCGCGCCGCTTGAGCTTGCGCACCTATTCGCACCGCCAGTGCCCTCAGGGAGCCCCGGCCTCCGTGGAAGCCCGCCCCCTGGGGGGCGAGCGCTCACCGCCGTGAGCAGCTCGTTCTCCGGCGTCCAGAGCTCGGCGACGAGGATGACCTTGGTCGGGATCTCAAACTTGGCGAGCTTGCCCTTCTTGCACTCGGCGGTGATGTCCTTGAGCACGGCGGCGACCACCTTTGCGTCCTCGCAGACGGCGCCGAGATCTCCCGACACGCCGAGCGAGGCCGCGAGCTTCATGAGCGGGCCCTCGTTTGGGCAGATGAGCGCGATGCAGTACGACATCGAGGAAAGCGCGTACACCATCGGCAGCGCCGTGTACTGCGACGTCTTGAGCACGTTCTCAACCTTGGAGAGGGCGACGTACTCGCCCTGCTGCAGCTTGACCAGGTCCTTCTTGCGATCGATGATCATCAGGTTGCCCTCGGGCGTGTACTGGCCGACGTCGCCGGTGCAAAAGTAGCGCTGGCCGTCGATCGTCACGAACTCGTCGCGGTTCTTCGCCACCACGTCCGGGTCCGGCGCGGCCGGGTCGACGAGGTAGCCGTCGCACACGCCCGGCCCGCCGATGAGGATCTCGCCGCGGGGCATGCCGATCTCCTTGTTGTCCTTGTCGGCGTTCATGTAGCCGCCCTGGGCGTGAGGGAAGGGAAGGTGAACTTCTCCACACACGAGGTGGTGGGGCAAGGGCCAGGCAGCCCTCGCGACTCCACGTCTAGAAGACAGGAGCCCCACGGCATTTAAGCGTGCCTCGGCGGAAGTGCCTCGGAAGTGCCTCGGAAGTGCCTTGGAAGTGTCTTGGAAGTGTCTCGGAAAGCGGCTCGCCTCCTCCCAGTCGCGCAGCTTGATGCACGCGGGACATTGCATAGCCCAGCGTGTTTAGGGGGGCTGTGCGCGCCACGACCTGCGCCGTGGTGTTGTCGCTCGCGAGGGCGATGCACGTGGCCGCGCACGTCTCGGTGAGGCCGTAGCCCTGCCGCACGCGGCACTTGAAGACGGTCTGCACAAACTTCTGCACCTCCGCGCCGAGGGGCGCCGAGCCTACGGGGTGAAGACACCGACATCAGGGCGGGAAGAACGGTCTCGTGCGGAGACTTCAGAGCCCCGCGTGAATGCGAGGGGTACGAATACGGTCGACGACAGCGGAGGGCGGGTCCTCTCGAGCGCTGGTTGGAGGACACGACTCCGTCTTCCGCTTCTAGGGCGCTTTGCCGGTCACCATCAGCTCCACGTTGCCGCCGAGCAGCTTCTGCACCTTTTTGAAGATGAGGTTGCCTGCGGCAGCGGAGAGAAGGGGGGGGCGGGGGCTGAGCGGCCGAGGGCGTCCTCGCGGCCGATAGTCTCGGCTCGCTCACGGCGGGATCACGGCTGCAACTCGGCTGGAGCTCGGCTGCATCTCGGCTGCATCTCGGCCGGATCGCGGGCGAGGACTCGCCGATGATGTACGTCCAGTGAGCGCCCACGCCGCCCGAGTCGTAGTCGCACTTGCCGTTGGCGATCGCGGCGTTGACGCGCCCCTGCAGGATTCCAGGCAGCGCGGCGAACTTGGCCTTGATGCCGACGAGAACCTGCGTGGTCGGGGGCCTGGGGATCAGCTCCTCGTTCCTCTCGCCCGGACCGGACTTCCTCGCCCTCGGGGGCTACTGGGAGAGCGAGGAGGGCAAGCGCGTGCTGGCGCCCAATGCGCGTAGCTGGGCCGTGCGGAGCGCGTATGCCGGCCTCGCCAATGTCAATCGCGCTGCACTATGGCACGCGCGAATGTCACACACCTTGTCGAGCACCGCCGGTGCGGCGACGAAGATGGAGGGCGCGACGATGGCCACGTCGCCGAGCTACAGCAGTCATTGTCACGCCTCAGTCCGCAGTCGCGTGTTACTCTGGACCCCGCGCCGCCCCTCCCCGCCTCCCGTGAAGGGGGTGGTGTGGGGGTGACTGGCGGGACTCGCGGTGGCGGGGGGGGGGGTCGGGAGGAGCTTGCGGAGGAGGAGGGGGGGGGGAGGGGTCGGGAGGAGCTTGCGGAGGAAGAGGGGGGGGGGGGGGAGGAGAGAAAAAGAGGGGGCCGCCAGGGAAAAGCAAACCCCCGGGGAA